CAGCCTCCAGCAAGCACAGGGCTCCCTCTCCTCCAAACTGGAGCCTGCAGAGCCCAGCACTCTGGTGTCTGGGCAGGAGCGCAGCTCTGGGCACACAGGTTCGCACCTGCACAACCAGGGGCTGCTCCTGGAAAGGCCAGACCCAAAGCTGTGCACCTCAATCCCTCTGCACCAAGGTGGTGAGGAGGTTTGGGCTGCGGCTGTTTTCCTCAGGGACCAGAAGAGCAAGAAGGATGAAAATAACGTAAGGTGGGATTTGGGTTCCTTCTCCCCAGCACCAAACACCTGGGGCAGGAGGGCCTGGCACCCCAGATGGCAGCAGGTCACAAAGCAGCCCCAGACTGGGACCATGCCCAGCACACCCCGGGGTTTGTCCCTGCAGAGGCACACAGGGCCCTGGGGGGCACAGCAGCCTGTGCTCCACCTGCCCTGTGCCCACCCAGCCAGGGGCACCAGGGACCGGGGCCGTGGGGAGCAGGATGCAAAAACAATGACAAAGTGGCAAAGGGGGCAATCCCCGACAGTTTCCTTATCGAAGCCCAAGCCTCGTTTGTGTCAATTGAATTGAGTAAACACTGGGCAAAAGTTTCACTTTCGCTTCTGCTGCAGATCCAGGGGCAGCTCCATCCAGGACAGGCACTGCCACCCCACAGCCAGGGGCACAGACACCCCAAAAGGGCTCAGTGCCACCAAGCAGCTGCAGAGATGGGGAACAGAACCCGTGAGCGAGCACATCCCTGAGCCTGGAGCACCAGCAGCACCACCAGGAACCAGCCCACTGCACAATTAGAGCAGCCTTGGAGCAGGATGTGTCCCAGGAAACAGCCAGGGCTGCAGCAAAGCCCTGCTGGCATTCCCATGGGGCAGCACAGGACGCTGCAGGCACACAGGGGCCAGCTCACTGAAACCACACCCTGCAGGCACAGACAGAAGGGACCCCACACCTCTGTGACAGCAAACCTCGGCTGCCCCCCACAGCCACAGGGCACACGCTGCTGGGGGCAGAGCTGGCATGGCACCCGTGGGACAGTGCCCAGCATGTGCCCCAGGAAGCCAGAGGGGTTCCCAGGCACTGCAGGACCCGGGTCCAGCCCAGCATCACCCTCAGTCCCATCCCTCCTCGCTGAACTCTGCAATGACCTGGCCAGAAAAGTGACCCAGAACCCCAAACCAGCCCAGCTGTGCCCTTCCCGTGGGAGCCCAGGGCATGGCACAGCCCCACCGGGACCCAGCCCCTGTGCCCTGTGGGGAGGGGGCTCTCAGAGCCACCCCAGCCCAGCCCCAGCACACAAATTGCAGTTTGTGCCGTGGGAGCAGGGCAGCAGCCAGGGCGGGGACGGCTTTGGTGGCTTCAAATTAGTGCCTGGGAGTTGGAAAAGGAAAACAAAGCAGCAGAAACGTGGCAGGGCACCAGGCTGCAGGCAGGGCCTGAAGGGGACAAGAGCCCCATGGCCACCAGGACACGGAGCCCGACAGCACAGGAGGAGGAGGAGGAGGAGAGGAGGAGGAGGAGGAGGAGGAGGAGGGTGCCAGGCTCAGCCCTGTGCCACAGCACGGGGGAGGCAGCGGCTGGCAGCCCTGCAGCCCCACACCCTCCATCCCCAGGTGTGCTGCTGGCTTCCCAAAGCAAACTGTGCACACCTCTGGGTGCCCGGGCTCAGCTCCCTCTGTGCCAGCACAGGGCTGGAGGTGATGCCAGCACAGGGACCAGCCTGCCTGCCCTCACACGGGCACAGGGACATGCAAAGGGATGAAATCCTCCAGCATCCCTGCTCCTGACGGCCAGCACAGCCCCTGTGCCGGATGGAGAACGAGTTTCACGGCATCCAGGCCTCCAGTTCATTATTTATGTCACACTTGAAGTCTCTGCATCTGCAAAACTTTCTGAATAATTTATGGATGGTGGATCAGGGAGGAAGAGGGACACGTTTTGCTGAAAACCAGGTCACTGAATACCAGCCAAGCAGCAAAGGGAGACAATGGAAACAGGCACAGAAACTCGCTGGGGGAAAAAGATCCAACATCATTTATGTACACACAGACACACACACACTCCAGAGATGCCCTTGGCATCTGAGGATATTTAGCAGGACCAGCCCTTCAGCAAATAAGGATCATTTTCAACCTTCTGAATTTATTCTTTCTTCTCAGGGAAGGAGAAAGTGCTGTGAATCATTCCTGCTTCTCTCTGTACCTACACTGAGGGCACAAGCAGGGCAGAGCAGCCCTTTCAGCAAAGCCTGGCAGAGACTTTGTTCATGTCCTCACTCCAGCCTCACCATCCCTGCGTGCCCGTGCCTTGCTCTGCAGAGGGCTCTTCCTCCCTCATCCTCCTCATCCTCCTGCCCTCACTGCCCGGCCCAGCAGCCCCACGGTTACGCGCTGTCCCCACACAAAGAGGATGTGAAACGTTCAGCCAAAGAGGCAAGAGGAAGGAAAAGGAGAGAGGATATGGCCGAGCCCTCACGTAACTCTGGCTGCAGGCAGGCACTGCCCCAGGGCCCAGAGACCCCCAGAACCCCTCACTCACTCACAGTCCTGAGCCTGGGCTCTGCTGCCCCAGCCTGCCCAGCTCCACAGCCACGAGGCACAGCGTGGGGACAATGACAGCGAGACAAGGCCACCGTGCCCAGCCACGGGGACACAAACCAAAACCACCTGGAAACACCACTGAAAAATAAAAGCTGGCTGATCACAGCAAGTCCCTGGTGACAGTCAGGAACGGCCCCAGATGGGCACTGGCTCAGGGGGTGACATGCCAGCCCCTGCAGCAGTGACACAGATACAGCAGCCAGCAACAGGCAGCACGGCAGCTCCTCACCCCTGTGCTGGACACTGGGATGGGCTGGAAGGGCTCACACAACACACAGACCTTGGAGCTGTCACACTGAGGGTGACGCAGGTGGGGACAGCCTGCCCAGGATCCACCCAGCAGCAGGGATCAGTCAGAGCCATCACAGCCCCCAAAGTCACCCCCAGAGCAGGAGGAGGATGCACAGAGGGCCCAGAGCATCCCAGCCAGGGAGGGGACACCCCTTCCCAGCCTGCCTGCCCCACACGGCCCAAAGCCTCCCCCAGAGCCCCCGGGGCCACCTCGGTGCCACACGTGCCAGGGAGGTGGCACAGGGCAGGCACTGATTTACCCTGCAGCACAATCAGCATTATTGCCGTCCCTGCAGCCTGGGCACCACTGGAACTCCCCCAGCCCTGTGCAGGAATTAAGGGCTAATCCAGGAACACATTCAATAGGAGCTACAAAACAATTCAGCCATAAAAACATCCTTATCTCCAGAGGCCAGCAGCGCTCTTCCTGCCCGTGCAGCACAGCCATGGCCACGGCCAGGGGACAGGAGCCCACAGGGGCTCACAGCACACCCCAAAATCCTGCACACAGCGTGCCCAGGGCCAGACACAGCCAGCACCCCAGCCAGCACCTGCTGCAAGCTAACTGAGTAAGCCAGAAACAGCTCAGGACTCAGCAGCTCACTCCCAAAATGTATTTTCTGTGAAGAGCAGCGCTGTAGGATTTGTTCTGGGGTAAAATGAATGCTACAGGCAGGGCCAGGCACTGCTGCCTTCAGCAAAAGCTCCACAGCAGAACACAGCCCAGACCTGCAGAACCGTAAATGCACCCACAGCTGTCGGGTTTGAGACTCTTTTAACCCCAAATGCCAAGAATTGGTACAATGGGAGTCCCTGTAAGCCAGATGTTACCAGCTGCTATTTCAGCACAGAGGAGCTACACCCATGGGGCTCGCTGTGAGACCAGAGGGGAGGGAGCAGGACCAGCCCTTCTGGGAATGCACAGGGTGCTGGGAATGCTTCACCTGCCCGGGCACCCCGGGGTGACCCCGCTGTCCCACAGCCCCACAGGGACCCCGGCCAGGCTGGCTCACGGCAGGTGATGCTGCAGGGGCTCCATGGCACCTGTGTCTGTGATGTGCCCCTGTCACCCCACGGCACAGCCTGGTGACCACGAGTGCTGCCAGCGTGCTGGGTACTGGCACACCTGGATAGAGAAATGCCCTGTGATTTGGGTGAAATAAACTCAAAAACAGAGCAAACCCCAATGACCCCACGAGGGAACAGCAGAAACGCAGCTTGGGGAGCACAGCACCCAGCACAGCACCCGAGGGCACAGCCCAGCCAACGCTGGCAGCCATGCAGAGGTGTCCCCAGCCGTGGGGACACGAGCAGCCCAGCCCGGGCATCAGGGAGGAGCGGGACGCTGCCAGCCACAGGTGAGGGTGTCCCCAGCCCCGGAGCCACAGCTGCACCGCTGCATCCCCCTCCCACCCGGTTTGCAGCTCGGCAGCCACCTCCGCTTCCCCTGGAGACAGAGAACAGCCCCGGAGGGGTCCCCTGGTCACGGTCAGGAATGGCCCTGGAGGGACCCTCTGGTCAGTCTGGAACGGCCCTGGAGGGGTCAGCCCGGGGGCTCCGGGCATCCCCACCCTGGGCGGACACGGGACAGAGGCCAACCAAAGGAGGGGCAGGGGAACCAGGCACCAACCCATGGCCCCAACAACCGCCCCCAAAGGATGTGACCCCCGAGGGCCGCGGAGCGAGACCTGCTGGGGCAGGACCAGAACCAGAACCACACACGTGCCGATGGACCGCGGCCACGCACATCCCGATGGAGCAGGGCCGGAGCCCTGCAGGTCCCGATGGACGCGCCCTGATGGAACACACATGCCTGGATGGAGCGGGGCAAGGCCGTGCTTGTGCTGATGGACCAGAACCAGGACCGCGCTGTGCCCATGGACCACGGCCGGCGCATCCCGGGCACCGCGCGCGTCCCGCTGGACCGGACCGGACCAGGACCAGGACCGGGAGCAGGCACGGCCCCGGGCCCGGCCGCAGGGGGGGCTCGGGTGGTCCCGGATGGAGCAGCCCCGTGCGGGGGCAGCGCGGGCCGGGCGGGGCTCGGCGGGCGGGCAGGGCCGGGGCCGGGCGGGGGGCGCGGGGTCCCGCAGGGCCGCCCCCAGCCCCGCACTTACTCTTGAGGGCGGCGACGAGCGACTTCCCGTCCTTGATGAGCTCCTTGATGAACTTGTTGGTCCTCTCCAGCTCGGCCTCGTGGAAGCGCAGCCGCTCCCGGAACTGCGGACTGTCCAGGCAGCACTCGCTGAACTCCAGCGCCGGCAGCCCCATGCTGCCCGGCACGGCGGGGGCGAGCGCGCAAAAATGCGGGCAAGACGCAGAACGGAAGGGCTTTCGGGGCGAGGGGCGCGGCCGCCGGTGCGGGCGGGCGGCGGGAGCGCGGTGCCGGGCCAGGCCGAGCCGAGCCGAGCCGGGAGCGGGGCCGGGAGCGGCGGGAGCGGAGCCGCGCGGGGGCGGAGCCGCTGCGGCCGCGCTGGGGCCCCGCCCGGGCCGGGCCCGCCCGCACCACGCCCCTCACGCTGCTGGCCAATGGGCGCCCTCCGCCACTGCCTATCCCCGCCCTCTTCGCGCGCTCGGCCAATCAGCTGCCGGGGCGGGGCGGGGCCGTGCCCTCCCCGCCGCTCCCGCACCTGGGCCGGAGCCGCCGCTGCGGAGCCGCCTCTGCCCGGGGCGGGCCCGGCCCGGCCCGGCCCTGCCCCGCTCCGCTCCCCACGGCCCTGCCCCGCTCCCGTCCCGCTCCCCGTGACCCGGCCCGGCCCCGCCGCGGGGAAACCCGCGCCCGGCCTGCGGGAGCGCCGCTCCGGCCCGCCCTGCGCCCGGCCGGGAGGCGGCTCGAACGTTTCTGCTCCCATCATCGCACATCTGTGCGGGAGATTATCGCCCGGGCTTAGTGGTGTGATCTGAGAGAATGAAGCCGTAATCTCCTGGAAGGGCTGGATGTGGAGCGGCCGCGGCAGGAGCTGTGGGGCCCTGTCCCCGCTTCCCTCCATTGAGGATGGATGCCGTCACCGCTCCCCCAGCCGATGGCTGTCGCCGCACACACAGCCCCGGTGGCTTCTCCGCACAGCCTTGAGGAGCACGCCAGGAATGCGGCCCGGGCCAGCAGCCGGCTCCTTGCCCGGCCGGGAGCTCCCCGGAGCAGGCACACGGCAGCTGCTGCTCCCCGCGGGGCCGGGGCGCTGATCCGGGACAGCGGGACACACCGGCACCGCCAGCGCCATCCCCCGGGCTGGGCACACCCCAGAATAAACCCCAAAATAAACCCGGCACCAGCACCGGCATCCAGGCGGGAGCGGAGTGCCCCAAGCCCCGGGCGGGAGCCGCAGGGATGCCGGCGGTGACCTGTCCCCCCGGGCTGTGAGGCTGTGCCTGGAGCTCTGACCTGTCCCCCCGGGCTGTGAGGCTGTGACCTGTCCCCCGCGGGCCCTGACCTGTCGCCCCGGGCTGTGACAAACAGCCACACCTGCGGACAAACAGCCACACCTGCGGACAGTCCCCGCTCGGCCGCCCCGGGGAACGCGAGCCCCGCTGGCCCCGAGCATTCATTGCTGCCAGCTCGGCCGTGACCGGGGCCGGGCCAGCGCTCCCGGAGCTCGGTCCGGCCCAAAGCCGGGCTGGCAGCACCGGCTCCGGCCACTCCTGGTGCTAAAATCCTCATCCTCCTGTGTTTTGCAGCGGGTGGGTGCAGGCACGGGAGCCTGACACCGGCTCAACCTTTTGTCCCTGTTTTTCAGTCCTCTAAAGCACGATCTTCTCCATCCTCACAACACAGCCTAATTCAGGCTGAGTCACCGCCTTCAAATATGGCTTGTGAGCCACATTTTTTTGGATGAGGCCTCCTAATTATAAAAAAGGATGTAATACAAATTACATGCTTATCTTGTAGGCAGGATATAAAGTTTAATGAGCTGTCATTTACGCCATATGCACCCATAAAAGCATGAGATGTTATTATTTGGATTATGCTCCCTAATTCTACCCTGCACAAAGCCACAGGAGCACTATTTTGGTTTTATCCTTCTCCATCACCATTGTTCGTATTTAAAAGTGCTCCAGCACTTACTGCTAATAGAGAAGAACCTGTAACTAGATTTATAGGACACTGCCTTAGAGGCTGCAAATATCTGGGGCTCGAAATTGAATTTTTTTCAGCACTTTTCCAGTACCACAGAAAATGATGATGCTCAGACTGTCATTTTCTGATGAGGACAGAATCGAGGCCATACAAAGCTCTGCCACACATGGAGCACCACACATACCACTGGAACTGAGGCCTCGGACAGGCAGTGAGGAATCTTCTCCCTTTTTCTGGCTGCATTCAGCAGGAGACACTCATTGTGTTTGAGCTCCAAATGTGGGAGCAGGGCAGCAGGACTGGGGAGGAAGAGCCATGGACATCTTCCAGCCCCATTTCCCTGGGACTGTGCATCCCAACTGCAAAAGAATACCATAGAATATCCCGACAAACAGCAATCACTGAGCCCAGCTCATGGCCCTGCACAGACACCCCACGAATCCCACCACATTCCTGAGAACGTTTATCACTGAAGGGAAAAATAAGCAAACAAACACCCCAGACTCGCACATCCTCCTGCCTGTGGATACAACAGCTTGCATCCCTCTGTAATCCCCGCCGCGTTTGCCTGCTTTGATTTATTGTTCCGAGCAGCTGGGCTGTCTCACCCCCAGCTGGACACGGGGAGGGGATCCAGCAGTGCAGGACAGAGCCCTGGCCACAGGCAGCCCTGCTGCCAGCCTGGGCAGGGCACGGCTGGGCTCACACGCCCTCCCCACAGAGCTGTGGGAGCTGTGGCTGCCCTAATCCCACACTCCCACCCCTGAGCCGCCCTTGACCACACGTTAGCGCATTCTCCCTCACTCACCAACCCACATCCCACAGCTCGCTCGCCCAGGGAACATCTGCAGAAAACTACTTCAGCATTAAAATAAAAAAAATAAAAAGAGAGAGCAGTTTCTACCTAGATTGGGTGACTCTGAATCAAATAACTGCTGGGGCAGGGGTGGGGGCTGTGGAAGGGAGGGGCAGACTGCCAGGGGCAGGGTTAGATGGGATTTGGGAAGAAATCCCTCCCTGTGAAGGTGTGAGGCCCTGGCACAGGTGTAGCTGCCCCTGCATCCCTGGCAGTGCCCAAGGCCAGGCTGGACAGGGCTGGGAGCACCTGGGACAGTGGAAGGTGTCCCTGCCATGGCAGGGTTTAGGACTGGGTGATCTTTGGGGCCCTTTCCATCCCAAACCAGTCTGGGGCTCTCTCCCGGCAGCAGCATCAGCCCAGCCCCAGCTGCTCTCCCCAGCGTTATCTCTGGGTGGGTCCCACAACCAGCTGGATCCAACCGGTTTGTTTGAAAAACAGCAATTCTTTCCAGAGCGAGCTCTCGGCTGGATCAGCTCCCTGATCTGAGCGCAGCATCCTCCCACCTCCGCATCCCGTCCTCCCGGCGCGGCGCTGTCACCGCTGCCGTGACACCTCCCCGGCTAACGCGGCACTGGGAGCCCCTTCTCCTCCGGGAAAGCGTTCTGCCACTCGGGTTCAGCCATCGGGGAAAGCTGCAGTGACAGCGGGAGCGGGAGGCGAGGAGCAGCTCCATCCCCATCCCCGTCCCCGCAGGCAGCTCCGAGCCCCGCGGCATCTCCCGGCTCCGCTGGGCAGCTCGGAGGGACAGAGCCCCATGAGGGGCTGCCCCGAGCTCAGCCCTGCACACGGACCCCGGGCCTTGCCGGGGAGATAAACCCTCACCCCTGGCTGCCCTCGGGGCCTCCTGGAGCCTCCCTCCCCTGTCCCACCCTGCAGAAACCAGGACCCGTGTTAGAGGGGCAGGGAGGGTGGAAAACCCCCTACCCACCCACTCGGGCACTAATGCACTTCGTGAAAGCCCAGGAGACAGCAGCAGCAGGCATCCCGACTGCCAGAATGCAGGAGTTGCAGCAGAGGATTCCTGGAATTGCCCTCAGGCAGCAATGTTCAAGGTCTGCTTGTTGTGTGGCTGTGTATCACACTCGCATCTTCCCTGCTCCCAGGACTCTTTTTGTTGGGCTACACACAGATGAGGCATCGTAGATGGCAAAAATAAAGCAGCCCTGCTCCAGATAACCCATCAGACCACCATAAGGAGTGCCCTTGAATTCCCCATTGTAAAGCAAAGGGTGTGTGTTGGCCTGTGGCGCTGACAGCCCTCCCTGAGGTTGATCCTGACCTTGGGCCTTTCCTTGGCTGTGAATGCAGCTCCGGGGCAGACACCCAGGGCTTCCCCTTCTCCCGTGCTACCCTGAGATGTGCCGTGGGGATGTTCTTGTCTGAAACTCCTCCATGTGACTGCAGCAAACAGCCTCGGTGACACCTCCAGCGTGACAGTGCCCCCTCCGCCGAGCGCTCACGAGTAGAACATGATTTCAGATATTGCTATTTCAGAGTGGAACGGTACTTTTCCTCGCTGCGTTGCACCTCTCACAGTCACACATGAATTTCCACCCCCTCAATTCCTTTTTTTCCCTTCTGCAGCTCACTTCTCTCCCTGCGCTCACTCCTCCTGGCCTCAGGCAGATTTGCAGGGGTGGGCGAGACAGACAGGAGACGGGAACAGCAGTGACACAGCCGAGTGCCTGCAGGGGGACAGCTCCCCCTGAAATGAGAAGCAAACCGGGCTGGGGTCTCTGCTCCCAACCCCTCTCCAATTCCCAGATCATTAACCTCCCATGAATTTTTGCAGGACTCATCGTTGCCACTCGTGCTGCCAAGTCTGCCCAGACACCACAGGTTTGGGACTGGTTTTGGAGCTGGTTTCCCGTTGAATGGAAATAACAATGCCATCTCCTGTTAGTCAGCCCGCGGTGCCACAGCAGTGCCCACATCCAGCTCCTTGCAGCTCCCTGAGCTGCCATGATGAGTTCCTCTCCCTGTAACCTCAGCTGAGCCTGAGCCTCTCCTGTTCCAGCTAATTGGCTTCACCTCCTGCCAGTGCTGTGCCACTCTCACACCCGCCCGGCCATGCCCAGGACCTCGCTGTGCCACCTCTGCCAGGCCTGGAGCTCCAGGGAGAGCAGGAGTGCCAGGACGGAGCCCCAGGCTGTGCACCGAGCGGAGCTGTCTCCAGAACGGGCACATTGCTCTCATGGCCCTGGCAGGTGTCAGAGCACATCCAGCAGGACCCAGCTCCGTGCAGGAGGCACAGGGTCGCTGCTCAGGCTGGAGAGAGGCTCCTGGGGCTCTCAGCCAGTGGGGAAGGCTTGTTTCCTTGGATTCCTTGTTAAAAAGAGGAGAAAACTCTTGAGCTGTGTGTACCCCTGGCCCTGGGGCTGCCCTCAGCTTTGCTGCCCTGCTCCTGTCACCCTGCACGGGTGGCACTTCACCCAACTCTGTCGATTT